TTAATACAAATAAGTAACTCCAAAGCTTACTGGTTCCATGTTTCTATATTGAACTTTTCACAATACTCGCAAATAGTATTTATAGAATAGACAATGTTGTTGATTGATACCCGCTAAGTGAAGCATGAAATACCTATGGGCCCTCTGCGTGGCACGACAGAGGCGAAATACAGTGAGACATGGGCCCTCTTCCCATCTGTCCGTCCAAGCAATTTTTGCGAGTTTTCCTGAGTTGTTAGTTAGCCAGCGACGGCGGGTCTTCTTCCTGATTATATGTGCTCTATGAAACGGGAACTTGCCACTATTGAACTATTACCACCTCAAAACTTAAAAAAGGTTTTTTCCGCTGAAACCTCGCCTACAGGGGCAACTCGATGCCATGATCACCAACATGACATTCACTATTAGCCCCAGCGCCATTTGTTGTCGTTAGGCGCAAATTTAGCGCCACACCTCTTTCCACGGAATTCGATGAAAACTAGCATATAACGAAGCTGTTCGATGCCCTTATCACGAATATGGCATTCGTTTTTCGGTTTGGTGCTCTGCTAAGGCTAAGCCTGAGAGAAGGAGTAATTTCAGTGAATTGTGTTAGTGCACCTTGGCGCCGGCACCAGCAGGGGGGGGGGCGTATTTGGTCGCTGGGAGAGGGGGGAGGTCATGTTTGATCTGAGAAACTTTTTTTATATTTGATTTTCCCTCGTTTTAGGAACGCTTTATAGGGGGTCACCTTATAACAAGAAACAAAAAAAAACACAACATATAATCGGAAATTACATAAGAAATGCTACAAAATAGTAGGTGTGATGGGACTGCCGACTTGGTCCGAATGGGCAAAAGAGCGTGGGGAAAAGCATGCTCATACTTCAAGCCACCTTGTGCCAACGGTTGTGGCGGGAACACAAAAACCAAAAAAAACATCTAATCCGTAAAGGTAATTCAGAGAAGCATACAAAAATAGGGGAGGCGGTCGTTTGGCGCGACTCCATTGCAATTGACGTGTTTTGACAGGTATGGTAAGTCCCTACCAAGTTGGATAACTTGTATGAATCACTAGACTATGAGGCTTTCGTAATTTGTAGTCTGCCAAAAACCGTCAGTGTGGGCTACAGTGCCCATGGTTCTCAGCCAAGCTTTCTTCCAATGATCACTTAGGTAAGAAACTAATTTGGAACTATGTGTGATTTGTCTCATCTGGAAGTCTGTGCACCTTTGACGGGGTTGATTCTGACGGGAAGGTGATAGAAAAATCGCGCCAAACGACATACACTTCGAAAATAGTTCTTCGACCTTCTGTGGAATGGAAATATTTATGTTACTGATTTTGGGAAATGGTCTCCAGCGAGCTGTTCTGATCTATCACGCGCAAAATCGCGAAATTTTACAGAATTGTCGCGTGGATGCAACTGCGTTACTAACCACTAACATTAACATGATAATGAGGAAACGCTTCCGAATAGGGATCCGGAGAAGGAAGTTTTCGTAAGTTCAAAGACGTTTTTCATAATTTTTGTTTCGTTTTGAAAGTGCATGATGTTCTTATTTTATCAGTGTTCTTTTATATTTGTTCGCGGTGAACCTTTAGTATTTAATTTCTTTTTACTCGTTGCTTTTTACACTTTGGGTTTTTTTTCTTCAAATTAGCCAGTTCAGGAAGTTAGTTTGGATAATTCCATTAGCTTTGAACGGGAAGTTGAACGTATCGTGCTCTAATCACCCAGTCGCTACGGTCGTATTCCTTTCACCGCAGATTTCAAAGTTTTTTCTTTATTTGATTCGTGTTATTTTGATCAAATATAATGCAGTGGGAAATTAATAATTCGCAAGTTTTCAAGTTTGGATACATGAGGCCATTTTACTATTGTTTTTTTTTGTGGTATACTAGTTTTATGTGTCATCTGTGTTTCACTACGTTCCGTCGTTTATTTCGGCGCGTCCATAAATTAACCTAGTCGTACTTTAGTATTTTCTAATGTCATCATTCACAGAATATCCTTTTTCGAGCAGGATTTTTTTCTTCTGTCCCAGAATTATTGCATGGTTCTACTCTATCCTGTGTTCTTTATAAGCCTTCAATTCGTCAGCATGAATGATTCTATCTTTCGAAACTTCTTTCTCTTACTTCTATTATCTTTCATAATCTAGTATATTGTTTTTGCAGATACTATAAGTTGGCAAATGGTAAGATAAAAACCAAACGTCGAAAAATGGGGAAGGAGCAGTTCCGCGAGTCCGATTTGGCTCGGAAAGTGTAAGTATATTGTTTTAGTAACATCTTAAAGACCTAATACTCCTGGATTTATTGTGTTTTCCTATAGTGTTGGCGTCAAGTTTATGCCGGCTGACAGTGATTTCATGCGGCAAGCAGCACATATTCGTGTTATCAACAATCGATTGTATGAAGATCTTCCTGGAAAGTGGGTTCCCGCCCAATGTGGACCGCTTGATCTGCGCTTGGTAAGTAGCCTTAACTAATGAGGCCTTGTCAAAATATAATTTTCACGCGCTGATGTGTAGTAGATTGATGTCGCTGGCGGACACTTCATTGGCAAATTCCTACTTCTGAAGTCGTTTTACGCCTTTTCCCTTTCATCGTCCTAAATTCATGTGGTGCAACTAAGACTGCCCCATTAGGAACTTTTATCTGACAAGTTCAGAGTACTTTGGTATGTATACCCTAGTTCGCTGCGGACGGCTGGGCGTGTCAGGCAGTATGGTATACACCCCGTCAAAACTGTTCTCTACCTTCTTGTTGAAGCGCGCATGCGACAAAAAGTGTTACAAAACTAATAATACGAGCGATATGATACAGTCATA